CGTACAGATTGTCTAATGCCCTTTGTTGAAGATGCTGTCATTTCCCCAGCATGCATCTTTGGCCTCTTTATCAAAAGTCAGATGTCCATGAATATGTGGATTTATGTCTGAGACTTCAATTTAATTCTATTGATCAACATGTCTGCTTTTGTGCCAATGCCATGCTGTTTTCATTCCTGTATCTTATAGCATAGCTTTAAATCTGGGATGGTGAGATCTCTAGCAGTTCTTTGATTATTCAGGATTACTTTTTAGCTATTCTGTTTATTTTTATCCCATATGAAACTGAAAATTATCCTTTTAAGGTTTTTGAAGAGTTATGTTGGAATTTTGATGGGATTCCATTGAATCTCTAGATTGCATTTCGTAGGTTGGCCATTTTTACTATGTTAATCTTACATATCCATCAGCATGGGAGATCTTTCCAAATTCTGCTAGTTTCTTCAATTTTTTTTCTCAGTGACAAGGACATGAAGTCTTTATCATCTAATTTTTTCTTTTGCTATGTTAGAGATACCCCAAGATATTTTATATTACTTGAGGCTGTTGCGAAAGCTTCCGTGGTTTCTTTCTCAGGGCATATGTCATTTGTATATGGGAGGGCTATTGATTTTTGTGAATCAATTTTGTATCCAGCCACTTTGCTGAAAGTGTTCATCAGTTTTCCTACCGTCTCTTACAGTGTCTCCCACAGCCTCTTCGAAAGCCCATACTCCAGCCTCTCCTACAGTCCCTATCCCTGGATTTCCTACAGACCCTTTAGAGCCTCTTCTTTAGCTCTCCTAATACTCTCCTAGCTCTTCACCTATAATCTGTCCATGGACACTCCACAGCCTCCCCTACAGCCTTCCTAGAGATCCTCGTTCCTATAGCTTCCCCTACAGCCCTCCTATAGAGCCCACTCCTATAGCCTCCCCTACAACTATTCTAGAGCATATACTACAATCTTCCTGCAACTTCTTCTACAGCCCACCTACAATTTTCCTGTAGTCCCCCTAAGGCCTCTCTAAAGCCTACTTAGCTCTCCTACAGTCATCCTACAAACCCTCCTTTGTAAATCCTTTCCTGTAATGTCTTCTATTGTTAATCCCTTTCACACACATATGATATAATTATATTATGATACTGATTATATATAATATACATGATATATAATAGGATATATGATATATAATATAATATATATCATATATATGATACTATTTCAGGCATACCATAGCTATATTCTTTACTGTTCTATCTCTATTTCTTTCTTCAGCCTATAAGCTATCTGTCTGGGCATTAGACAGCCCCCATTCTAATCAAAATAAAATCTCAAGCCCCAGCCTAAGGCTTGACCTTCCCCCAAAGGATTACCTTATCTTTAATATTAATACATCCTTTTGTATTGAGTTATAGCATTCTCTACAGTCTGTGAAGAACATCATTGCTCTGTGGATGGGAATGATACGCTCATTAGGAACATGAACAGACATAATATTTCTCTGAAGCCTTTGCCTCCCCATCACAGCACAGAGTACAGACTGAAAACTCCATAAATGCTGGTAAACATGCTTTCCTGACATGTTCTTGCTAAGCTGACAGCTTTGTGCCTTCTTGTCCTATAGAGCACTGCTCAATACTTTGTAAATGCAAGGGGCTGTAATACCTGTTTTAGGATGTTTCCCATTCTAGATGATAAATATCTGCAATTGCAATTCCTTTCATTCCCAAATTGCCAGCATCTTTCATGTTGCTGAGCACCTAATAGATTCTTAATATGTGTTTAATAAACAGGCAGGTAGTGTTTCTTCAATCTGGGGTAACTAGAAACACAAAACAATTCTGTCAGTAAAGGACATTTGTGGTGCTATGTTCTGGGGATTCAGAAGAGTTCATGAGACTGTCAATAAAAAATTAAGAGTTGAGTATAAGCTTTCAATATGTTAAAAGGGATAAGAAATTAGGAAAATAGTTTTCAAAGAGTTGTGTGCTAAGAATTTCTATGCATAATCCAAACATTGGGACTGCCTTGAAGATTATGTTTTGTTTATAGAGGTAATAAATAAATTAGACATCCATAATTTAGTTTGCAAAATGCTAAGAAATATGACCAATGTCATAATTGAAGGGTTATTGAAACTCCCTTTTTGAAACATAAAAAAGAGGGTAGAGTTAAGGGTGATTGAAAGGGGGTTATGGAGAACAAAGTATCTTAGATTGTAGGAGAAAAAGCTAGCTAATGGATAAAAGCATACACGGAACACACAGGACTCTTGTCCATTATTTATCTTATGTTCTTAACTGAGGCTGATGAGCTAAGAATAAATTCATTAGTTATTAATCAACACTCACTTTTCCTTACCTAATGATTGAGTTTGGGTGAGGAATATGGGTAGATCACATTTCTTAGTGTGCCTGTGGGTGGTGTATTTGTGGCACCAAACATGTGATGTAAGCCATCTTGCATTGGAATGGAATTTTTAGGAGTAGAGGGTCACTCTATAGTGGTTTGCTTTTGTGAGGTAGACTTTTAAGGGTGTGGAGAGTGTAGTAGTTTGAATAGGTATGGGCCCCCTAGACTCATGTATTTGAATGTTTGACCTTTTGGGAGTGGCACTATCAAGAAGTATGGCCTTGTTGGAGTAGGTGTAGCCTTGTTGGAGGAAGTGTGGAAGTGGGATTTGAGGTCTCATATGCTCAAGCTGTGCCCAGTGTAGAACATAGTTCACTTCCTATGCCTATGAATCAAGATGTAGAGTTCTTAATTTCTTCTCCAGCATTTAATTTCTTTTTTAGTACCATGTTAGCTTAACACTGCTATGCTTCCTACCATGATGATAATAAACATTTGAAACTGTAAGATAGCCCCAATTAAATGTTTTCCCTTATAAGAATTGCCATTGTCATGGTGTCTCTTTGCAGCACTAGTAACCCAAACTAAGACACATAGTTCTTCCATGGGTGGAAAAAGTCCATAACATGTGTCACTATAGGAAACCAAGTCATAGTCAGTCTGTAACATCTACCTTGGAAGGTTTGGTGAACACAAAATGAGGTTCAATTTTGTCTGTACCACTTAACATTTTTGACTCCTTTGTCCCAGATGATTGGCCTAAATTGATCAGTGCATGAAATGTGTGTGAGTTGACATGATCTTGCTCAGTTTTCATATCATGACCACCACGGGACATCCACCGGCAGCCTCCTTAGTCTGGTTCCTATAAATAGCCATGGAGCAGGCTACTAGTACAGAAAATGGCCAGAACAACAGACACATAGTTCTGCTATCGAAGAACTGCGGGTCTGTGACAGAACCTTTGTTGACAAGAAGTTCATTGCACAGTTGAAAAAAATGCAAAATTCCCAAATGCAAAGTTAGTAGGCCACAGACAGACTTCATCCAAGCTCTGGCAGCCCAGAGTGGACCACTAAGCTGAAGGGCAAAGTCACAAAGTTGGCTCAAGGACTCCAGAAACATTCCCAGGAAGGACTATAAAGGTTTATTATATTGTACTAAATATTAGGGGGACAGTGAGTACTGTTACCAAGTTTTCTGAATTTCTGTGTCAACAAAATGACCCAGCTCTCCTCTCATTTTGTCCCTAGAACACAGCCCAGGATGAACATGGGAATACATACTGGGCTGCTTGTGAGAATCTGTTGGATTCTTTTATTTTCTAGCTGTTACTTTTCTCTCTTAATCCATATTCCTGGGAACAGCAGGATCCTGAAGTTCATTCTCGCTGTTCTTTGAAGCTCACCCACTACTTTCAAAGCTACAGCTGCATCCTCAGGCTCTTCCTGGGTTGCTATTTGACTGCAGGATATCACCCGCTGGGTCTCACAGGTCCTAGAAGGTCATCACACGCTGATGCTCCAGATTTACACTTGCTTTATAGAGAACAACAAGGAGAGAGAAGAGAGAATCAGAAAAGTCTTGAAGAAGAGACGTCTTGGATAGTCCTAATTTGGAGACCTTTGTGCCAAGGTGGGCAGTTCAGGCCTTTGACTAACAGACTCACTAGAAGGGGAGAGAGAAAGAGTTCTCCTAACAATAATGGGGCAGACATCAGATTGAGTGCTGATATTTGCTAAATTAAAATATGGGAGAATATTTTTGGTGTCCCCCTCCCATAGGAGCTTTGCAAGAATAGCTTTGGGGCCCAGCTTTCAGGGTGGACTTAATTTTGTCGAGCCAACTGGCTCATCCTTGAGAATGTCTCAATCTATGAACCCTCTGCTAAGTGCTTGTTCATCCCCGGCAGATTTACAGCCCTCGGTGAAGCAGCCTTCATAATGGAAACGCTGACAGCCCAAGTTCTGCTGACAGGAAGGGCACAGCTGTGATAAAACTTGAACATGAACGGGAAGGTGCGCTTGGTCTTATGTGTTTGCCATGCCTGCAGGTCACAGAGAAGCACATCCTTAATTGGTCCGGGGCTCTAAGGAAGGCCGGCTAACACCTGGTCCTCAAATTGGTTTGGATTTATTTATCTGAGCGGTTGTCATAGGGCAATGAAAAACTTAAACCTGGCAGACTTAGAGGTAGATCCTTATTTTCATTTTTGTCTTTTCCATCTAAATCAGGTAGACGAGCAAAGGCCTTTGGGAGAAATGCCACCTACCATGGGGTCATGGTAGAAAAGGACTTGAAAGAACAAGAGGGAAGTGTCTACCTTTACACCATACAGAAGAGCTAATTGCACAGGAAATAAAGCCTGAAGCTTTAGAAGTTTAGTGGCAGCCCTTTACTGGTAACATCTGAGGGTTAAGTAAGTGGATCATCTGTGATCACATATGCTCTATGATCTCACATTGTAGGGATAAGTCCCACCCCTTAGGGGGCATGTTCACCTCAGGCTAAAGTTTTCCTATAAATTTGGCTCAGCTGGCTCTCTTACATAGCACAGGCTCATCTATCTGTCCAGGGAATCGTGCCACCCACAGTGGGTTGGGCCATGCTACACCAGTTAACAAAAAGAAAATCCCCAGCAGACACGCCCACAGGCCGACCTGACCTGGGAGATTCCTCCATTGAGACTCCATTCTCAGATGACTCAGGTGGTATCCAGTGAGAGACAATGTAAAGTGAGACGCATCGGTTGCTTTTTAAAGAAGGAAAT